CCAACTCAAGTCATTGCCATCAAATCATCCATCAATAGCAACTACATACAATAATATGGGATCCGCTTTAAATGCAAAAGGCGAATACGATAAAGCATTAGAGAATTATGAAAGGGCACTTGAAATCCAACTCAAGTCATTGCCATCCGATCATCCATCATTAGCACTTACATATAATAATATGGGATTAGCTTTAACGACAAAAGGTGAATACGATAGAGCATCAGAGAATTATGAAAGGGCACTTGAAATTCAACTCAGGTCATTGCCATCCAATCATCCATCATTAGCAACTACATATAATAATACTGGATTCGTTCACCATGAGAAAGGTGACTACGATAAAGCATTAGAGAATTATGAAAGGGCACTTGAAATCCAACTCAAGTCATTGCCATCAAATCATCCATCATTAGCAACTATATATAATAATATGGGATTAGCTTTAACGACAAAAGGTAAATATTAGCTTTAAGGGCAACAAGGTGAACACAATAAAGAATTAGAGAACTATGAAACGGAACTTGATACTCAACTCAATTCATTGCCATCCAATCATCCATCATTAGCAGCTACATGCAATAATGTGGGAGTAGCTTTAAAGCAAGAGGTGAATGCGATAAGGCATTAGAGAATTCTGAAAGGGCACTTGGAATTCTATTCAGGTCACTGCCATCCAATCAGCCATCATTAGCAGCAACTTTTTGTTGTTTTAGTACTAGTCCAAAGCGCAGTATCATCTGCAAACAAGTTACTGTTGCAATTACTTGGAATGGTGGATAATGAATCACTGGTAAAGAATGTGAACAATATGTACAATAACTGTGACTGAGTCGAACCTTGGGGCGTTCCATGTCGTATTGTAAATGTTGTTGATATTGTGCATTTGTATTCAATCAGTTCTTTTCGATCAGATAAAATTTGACAAATCGAGATTCATAAGTATTCGGACACATTCACCTTTTTCGACTTGTACAATAACCCATTAAACCACACGGGTTCAAACACTTGTTTAATGTCAAGGACGATAAGTGCTGTTTGCCTGTTTGTCGGTTTTTATATAAACTAACATCTACATCATGTTTGAAATGCAATAGATTATCTGTTGTACTTCGGTGTTGTCGGAATCCAGCTTGATAGTTAGGGAGTAAATGATGTTGTTCAGCAAATTCGTTTAACCTTTGCTTAATTACTCTCTCCATTAGCTTACCAGGGCAAGTCAACAGGATAACGGGACGATAAGTGGTGGGATCATTTGGATCTTTGTCTGGTTTTTGTATCAGTATAATATGAGCTAGTTTCCATTGTGGTGGTTTGACACCTAGCTTGAGACTGCTGTTGAATAACACTAGTAAATGTTGTAACAAAACACTGTTTTCGCGTTCGAGTCCGACACTCGTTCTCAGTTATCTGTGATCGTAGAGATTTCGGAAAAAGATGATTCGAAAGCTCACAGATCGTAAATGACCCAAATGAAGTTAGTTTTCGGGTATGTGCTGTAGTTACCCTGTAACTAGTGCTACAAAACGAGGATATTTTATAGAAAACTATCGTTTTTCTGTTAGATAATTATCGTCACGTGCTATTCTTCGTAGTGAATATATGCTATAGTGCTTGATATCATAAAAGCTATAGTAGAACGTATGATAGGATAATGAGTCAGCTGATATGTCAATGTGAATAATATGCCGTAGAAGATACGTAGACAGTTATTAGAATCAGCTGATATAAGAATATAGGAATTCTACTCAAAAAATAGTCAAACTGTTTCTGCTATGAGATAATTAATTGTCACGTGTGAGTCACTTCATAGTGAATATATACTACAATACTGGATATGATGTAAGCTATAGTAGAAGAATAATGAATCAACTGGTATAGGCATTTAGAAATTCTTCTTGAAAACTGGTCAGACTATTGTGAGTTTCTGTCTAATTTCGTCTGTTTACCGTTTCACTCAGTCGACTTTTCAATCTATGCGCAGCATAGTTGGCATCTAGTTTTCATTTTTATTTTCTGGTCTTTGCAACCAATGTTTAGGACACATGCGTAAGAAAATGGCGTAACAAAAAATAAGAAAAAGAAAAGTACTGGACGTTCTAAGATTTGAATACTAAGTAAAATAGTTAGAGAGAGAATATGCGAAAATGCTACACTGGTAGCAGACAAAAACTACTACATCACATCAGGAGCTGAACTTCTCCAACACGCGTTCTTGACCTTAAGCAGTATATCAAAATCTTAAGAAGTATCTACCAACTAATCTGAGAGTCTCTTTGAGCATATCTCATTCCAATGCTCACCCTTTCAAAATCTTATGTTTGCGAAATGAAATACATAATATATCAATAAATCACAAAAGGACAGTAAGTAGTTTTCAGTGCAAAAAGAACTGTAGTTCCCGTTCGCGAAATCAGAACCGGCGACCCGTTTCGGACATTTAACATTTAACTTCGTTTTTACGTTATTACTGAACTCTTTCAGTATTAGTTCACATAACCATCTTACATCACCAAGAAGAATGACAATGTTAGATTAGAAGTATGACAATGTATCTCTTAATCAGGAACGGCTGCCATCTATCGGTTTACTGCATGTAACGTTGGACAGTTCTGTATCTCATGAGAGGAAAGAAAAGTTGTAGTTATTAATAGGAAGTCATCAAAGCTTTGTTATGTAACGTTTTGTTTGCCTTGGGGAGAAAGATAGTGTTCGGAATTGACAGCAGTTTGCTCATTCGCCATCCGTAATGCATGTATAAAAAGTAATGTTCACGGCGTGATAACTTGTGTTTTGTATGATTGATTCGGAATGCACAGGATTTCAGGCCGTGGAAGGTTTTTTGAACGTGAATAGCGACTGTGGAATATAACTATAACTCACTCATTTACCAAATCGTCAAAATAATGGTTTATTTTTAGTGCTTTTTCTGAGGATTTTCAAGTGGAATCGAACGATACCTCTGGATACAAGACAATCATTGGTGATCAATTCTTTTTCCTTTAGTTCGAATGAGAAGCCTGTAAGGACTATACCTGTTGCACTTCACGGTTTCTGTTCGCTGAATGGAAACTGCTTTTCAGTTCTCTTTTATTGATGGGAAACTGCTTATTGCTGACTTTATTATGACTAGAAACATAGCTGAATTTTACTGTGAGAGATATTAAACTGGTGATTTTTACCTTTCTGATTAGTTCGCGAATGTGTCGTGCAGGATATCCAAGTCCTGAAAATCCTGTTAAAATTACTGACCGCGATCCTTGGAAGCTTTCTCAAGACCTGAATATCCGGATTCTTATAATGTATAGAATTAGAACAGTCTGTTCGAATATACATTGAAATCTATGGACACCACCTTTGACTGTCCGGAGAAAAATGTGTATATATATAATATTCTACTGACGACACGCACATTATTCATCAATTCGTAAAAATAGTTCCAAATATCAATTATCCAAATCAGTCGTTTGGTTGGACCTGTGAGGAATTACATCCTAAAGTTAGTAATACTGATTTCTTTACATTGCCAGTGAAAAAAAACTTTTTTAGCTTTCAGGCAATTGGCGTATAGTTGAGATCGTCTCCGAATAATGATGTTGATTTATGGTCGTTGACTGTTAATTGTTATATTTATGACCAAGAACTGACCCGTGCGTTCAACTTGAATTTATCGAACATTCCATCGTGTTCAAATGTGTTGAATCTTATCATCGATGCTGCTACAATTTGGACTCAAACCAAACATAACAAAGCAAATAGAGAATCACAATCAAATAACCGATTTTATGTGAAGCGCGTATTTACCAAGACGTTCATCAAGTTTCGAGACTAAAATTTATATCGTTGTAAAGCTAGAACATATTCAATAATATATGCCGGAAAATATTGGAGAAGCAATTTCCAAATTCAAAATATTACTTTTAGATAATAATCAATTAAATATATTCACCAAACATAGTTATGGTAGATGTATTCTGCATCATTAATTAAAAAACTCAAAATTAACAAATTTAGAAAAATATTTTTGATTCATCATCTATTTAATCAAATAAACAAACGTATTCATAGTATCACGAATTAAATTCTATGTAAACGAATATTAAAATATAATAAACGACAACAAGATTTTTATCATTAAGAAATAAATACCTAGACATTTATTAACAAGACAACAATTAAGCATTATGGATAACAAATCTGTTATTTTTTTTAACATTCGTTTTGAGATTTGATAATGATTGTATAATATTCACAAATCATTTGGTTTTATGGTTGACTCTTTTTGTTGCATTTGTGATGTGTATTGTATGTGTACATTTTTCAAAGCAAAAAGTTACACATCCGTGCATAATTTCGTGTATATTTTTCAATGATAACCAACTGTTGTTCCTTTTATGCATGTTTGTGATATATATCATTTTGACAGTCAGGTATTAGGTAAATTATTTGTTTTCTAGAATTAAATTTAATGATAATCAAAATTTATCTTTTCTTCAAAATAATCAATGATCCTAACGAGTTTCAATTTTACAGTTGTCTGTCTGCAACAAACGATTGATCTGATAAACCATTGAGTTTTGTTTCAATAGTCATGCAGACCATAGAACACTCATCATACCGTTACAAAAAGCTCAGCGTTTGACATGGTTAAAGTACCAAGAATTCTGTTTAAAGGTAGCCTCTGATCTTATTAGAATAGATCATCAAATTTCTTATCAATTATTTTAGGTTAGGAAATAGCAAATTAAAAGATTTACCATTTTCATGTTTACTTTCTTTTCATTTAATAACAACTGCATAACTCGTGGACAACTGGTACTTCTTCCTTTTTATTACATATATTGTCAAAGTGTTAATGAAAAGTATGGTCATCTAATTATGTTTTGCGCAGACTCATGTATGTTCGCTATTTTATTTTAATCGTTATCATAATCTCGTAATTGTTTGAATCTATTATTGCTAATTTATTTTGCAATAAGAAAGAAATAGAAAAGATAAAATGCCTGCGTTAAACTCATTTATCTCAGAAAACATACTTGTACATGTTATTAAACGGAAGGAAAAAATATTCTTTTTTCACTATATATTCTGTTTTGACAAAGACTTTATTTCCAGTCACCTATCGATGTGCAACAACAAACTTAATCTGTGCAAATTTTTTGTTATCTATAGTGGTGTTTTTGTAAGCTTGAGAGATACTATTTGTAATATGATTAGATTTAGCCTTTAGACTAATGAAGTGTGTCTTTTTTAGATGTAGCATTTAGATATTTATATAGTTTGAATTGGTGAACAAGTGATTTGGAATAAATAACAAGTAATGATTGGATTTTATCTGGTTATTACGTTAATCTGAAAACAAAATGGTCTATGAAGTGAGTACGAATTTAAGTTGTATTTTTTTATTGATATTTTCTTGCCATTAATGATAATGATTAGTACATCTCATTGTTCTGTTTACTAATTTTCGCATATTTCTGCTTGTTAGAAACAATAAAAGATGTCTGATGGTTACGTGGTTAATGATTTATGCACATGTTTTTTAGAATAAAGAAAACATTCATAAGGCACGAAATAACTGTTGTGATACATTGAATGGAAACAGTAAGTCTACCGTATATTGAGAAGTAAATTACTGTTGAAACTATTTATTTTAGTTGATAAAACTCATTTCATAATGCCCATGTAGTAGTCCGACAAACGACAGGACTGTTAAAACATTTGAAGCAGAATGATACATTGTGGCTACGATTTGATGTAAATAAAACTGGAATTTATTCACTTTCAGAGTCCAAATCTCTTTTGCAAGTGAAACTTGGAGAAGATGTCGACGATGTTCAAACACGTGATAAAGTAGCAGTATGAGAAAAATTACTAAAGAGATTTTCAACAAGCATAAAAAACATTTCTATTTAGATTATTCATAATGAAAAACTCTACCATATTGAAACAAAATATTTGTTTTTTGTTGATCCATGTGACGATGAGACAGTTATACCAGTAAAAACTCGAGTATTAATTCGAACATTAGATAACCGACAAAAAATTGTCTTGTCATTTGGTTTTATTGGTGAAAGTCCAGCGAATTATAATCACTATCGTCATCTTATTATTTTTGATAATTTATCTGCCACTTATCATGAGAACATGGGTGAAATTCATCTTTCTCTTGCTAGAGATTTTTCATGCCATTTACCACATCTTAATTTGTCTTCGAGAATATTTTTCAGACAATATTTTGATTATATATTATCATCTACAAAAGTAATACCAACAATTAATTTTCCAATCAATACGATTATTCGTGTTAAACATGCTGGAAATTATCATAATGCGCGTATTATAGAAAAAGATTGTTCAATGATTAAAGTGAAATTTTTTGAACGAAAATCTCAGTTGGAAATATGGATATATTCTGGAGCAATAGTAATTGAACAAATTGATCAACAATTTTATTCAAATCACAAACATGAAGTATCTAAAGAATCTTCTATTAAAACAACAACATCTGCTGTTGCAAATCATTGTTCACTTATTCCGGTCGTCTCATTATTAAATCATCAACAACTCAATTCATCATCTATGACAGGAGTTTTACCGCCATGTCAAAATGTGACGACCATAACATTTTCTACTAGTTCTAGTCCATTAGCAACTCTTTGTCATCTTTCTGATTTAACTGATCGAAAACGGAAGTTATATGAAAGTATTGAGAAACGTAAGTATTGTTTTATCATAGTTCATACTCATCTTTGGATACTAATTCTAGCTAATAGAGGACATGTCTGATACATGTTTGACCTTCTCCTTTTTTGCATTATTACATACAGAAATAAGCGCATCCTGTTTTAGTTCGAATTAATAATTCGTATTTTTTTCCGGTTTTCAAACAACCTTTGTTCAAAATTGATAATCAAAGAAAAAGTAGCACTCGAAAAAAATTCATCTTAGACCAGAAATCAAATGGTATTAAGCCATGGTGCCATGACCTCCTCTCTATTGTTGATAGCATCTATCCTTTATTTGCATTATTGGTATCATTCTTACACTTATATTCACATTCTTCTCTCCAACGTGATATTTTCTTTTTTGTTCATTGGCAGATACGTTGATTACTACACGATCAACAATAATAACGGCATCGTTGCCATTGTTTTCAAGACATATTTGTTCTAATTTATGTGTGATCAATGCTGAAAAACAATTGGATTCATCAGATATAAATCCATTTAGTTTACCAATACAATATGGATGGAAATTTTTTGAAATAATCATACCCAATGATCAAAAATCACGAGAAAAAAAATATGTACGAAAAAATTTGAAAAAAAATTTTATATTTCGTTCACCATGTGGTTTATCATTTTTTCAACTAAGTGAAGTTGAACATTATTTATATCAAACAAAATCAAAATTATCTATCAAATATTTTTTCGATGATAAATTAACGACATTAAATCAATATTTTCAATATAATAAATCATTTATTCTTAAAAAAGATTTATCCGATAGTGTTGAACAAATAAAAATAAGCGTTTATAATGATCTTGATCAGTCATTACCAATACCATTTGAATATGGTAAATATCGTCGTATGAACGATAAAAATAAACCAGTTGTATTTAATAATGATGATATGACATGTTGTGGTTGTGTTGATAATTGTTCGGATCGGTCAAAATGTGCGTGCCATTTAAAAACATTGGAAAAAGCAAAATTATATAAAGATCATAGTTTTGAGACATGGAAAAAACTTGGATATTCAAATAAATGGATAATAAATCATCTTGGTTACGTAAATCAACGATTAAATCAGGTTGTCTCATCTGGTATTTATGAATGCAATAAGCAATGTAAATGTCATCAACAACAATGTACAAATCGTCTAGTACAAAATGAATTATTTTTACAATTACAACTGTTTAATTCAGTGGATAAAGGATGGGGAATTCGAACATTATATGATATACCTCGAGGAACATTTATTACTTATTACAGCGGTGAACTCTGTACTAATAAAGAAGCAAATAATCGTGATTTTAGATATCAAGCTGATCTTGATTTTTTTAAACAATATGTTAATAAAAAAATGACTGCTAATGAACAAAATGAGAGTGTTAACGATGATGAATCCGATGTTAACAATAAGAGTCAAATAGAAAGAGATAAACAAGGTATAATTAACACATTTCAATTGAAAAAAATCGTTGTTGATCAAATACGCAAAGATAAAAGAGAAAAAAGTTTAATTTTTAATTTTTATTCTGATTAAGAAATGCCTCATGTAACAGCGTTCATGTTCTCTTGAAATGCGAAATTTAATTTTTTTAGAAAATCAACAAACGTCTTATAAACGACGAGGTCCACTAACAACAGAGAAAGCTACTGTAATTGTTGATGACAGTGATGATGATAACGATGGTTATACGATTGATGCAAAACATTATGGTTGTGTCTCGAGGTTTGATGTTCAAGATTAATTTTATTTTACCTTTATTTTATGTATCTTTTCTCATTTAGATTTTATAATCATAGCTGTTCACCCAATATAATGGTTCAAAATGTTTTTATTGAAACACATGATATTCGTTTTCCATGGATTGCTTTATTTGCCAAAGATAACATTAAATCTGGTGAAGGTATTTATCTTATAGTAAACTGTTAAATTTCTCTTTCATTTTTTCTTTTGTAGAACTTTGCTGGGATTACAATTATGAGATAAATGCAATTCCTGGATTAGTTATTGAATGCAAATGTCGCTCAAGTCAATGTCGTGGACGTTTATTGTGATATAATGCATGAAAATGTTTTTCTAATTGATAGTTTACATTTACATGTTACAGTTATTTTAACAAGTAAAGTTTAGATTTTTCTTTGTTTTGTTGATTCTTTATTTTCCAAATAACTTTGTGATTTAGATTTTTTTTTGTCTTTTTATGTAACTTAGCTTATTATTCATATTTAATGATTCCTTGTTTCTGACATGTAACAGCAAATTTATTTTTACACGAGGAAAAGTAAAGTATCACATCTCTTTACTGAGTTTTTGTTTAATGTCAACTGTTCTTTTTTTCACTTTTTGTTTAGTATAAAGTGACAAAATTTTGACAGTGAAGATATTATCTGTTTTATCTACTTTTTTTGTTATTATTTATTCTTGTTTCTATGATGAAGTGATAGAAAAAAAGTAGATTTTATTTTTATAACTTTTTTGTTTTGTTTCATTATCCTAGTTCTTTTTGTTTTACACCGTTAAACAAAAATGGTTATACAGAGTCAAACTCACAATTTTTCTGATATGTTTATCAGAATTTTTTTTTATCTCCCAGATGACTATGCAGATTACTCAGATATTTATTAACTGTATTTTTGTTGGTGTCAAGGTTTTCTTTTCACATTCGACTAAACTCGGTGATAATTAATCTAATCTCGTGTGTCTTGTGGTAAATCAAATAGAAGAAATAGTTTTGGCTAGTTTTTTTTCAAGGTCTTATTTAACTAATGAGAGGTTAGGATTTTTTTGTCCCTACATAAAACTGTTTGTATGCTAGAGTATATGGATTGTAATTAAATAAAAGATCTAATCTGTTGGCGAAAGTGTGTTGTATATGAGACATCGTTGCATCAAGATCACTTATATCTTTACTATTTATAGTTTTATGATTCTGTAATGATCGATATAGGCTGATTTTAGATGTTCTCCGTTATCATTATCTTCATCACTAAGAAATATCTAATCGTGATACCTTGGAAGAGAAAACTAACCAATGTCAATGATCAGCAAGTCTTGACTTTTACTTACCAATATAAGCACTATTTAGTTATCATACGTACTCTTTTCTATTGAAGATATAAGAATAATTGCCCATTGTTATTGTCATTGTATTTTTAGATAAACAAAATTTTAGAAGGTGGTAACAATTGCTGCCTATATATATTTTGTATCGTCCACTATTTACCTTCCAATGGATTTGAACTTGGATGCAACCTATATTATTTATACAATTGATGAATATCAATAAAACACATTCTCTTTCGTCCTCTTCCTTCTTAGCGTGACGCGACCTTTTTTCATGGATACATGTTTCCGCACCAAACATTGTGATACTTATTAGAATAGACTTTTTAAATCACTATTTGATTTTTTTTCATTTTTTAGATAGAATCAGTGGGATACGATAACTAACTTTTTTTCTTAACATCATATATTCGGTCGTAGGAAATCTTATACTGTCTTTCAATATGTGATCGAATTTATTTTCTCATTTTGTTTTTCATCTACTAGACTATGGTCACAATCGACGGAATTATAATAACTTTTGTTTTTATTATTTACACAGTTTTGTATTTAAACAACTTTTTTTCCTTTGAACTTCCACCAGTCACTAGTACCGGAGTAAAAAAGTAGTGCACTCGGATGTTTTCTGAATAACGTTTGATCGAAATGGGCTAGAGAGTTCTGATTTTCATCATTTTGAAGTAAATTCATGGGGCTATCGAACGACTTAAAAATGATCTGAAAACTACCAGTTTCAGATGGTGTACTTTCTCGGACAAAATATTCAGCAGTGCCATGGAAAGGATCCCAGATAAAACTTTCGTCCTAAATTTACATTTAAATGAAGCAACATCTGCTCTACAAAACTACACAAGTCCGAGCCCTCTATCTTTTTCGTTTGGAAGCTATAGTCATTTTGCTGGGACCACATGGGTATCTTCGTAGCCGACGATGTTTGGGGTTTGGACCCTCAGTAATATATGCAAACATAAGTTATCAACTACAACATATCTTGGAGTCGAATAGAACTTTTTAAAACCAACGTAAAATACTTGGGTTTTCCAAAAGGTTTTTTAGAAGTCTTCCGACGAAAATTTTATCTGGCATCTTTTCCATGGTAGAATCCTTTCCATGGCACTGCTGAATATTTTGTCCGAGAAAGTACACCATCTGAAACTGGTAGTTTTCAGATCATTTTTAAGTCGTTC